ATAACCTGGGTTCTCTGCGTCATCTCCTCACCACTTCAACCCCACTTTATGACAGTTGCTCTGGTTTTTATCAACATTTTACAAAAAGCACATGGTTTTGGTTTACTTTTGAGAACAATGCTTTATCTTAAGAAACCTTAAGCTTTTTTGTCTCATTACCTCCTGATAATGATGCTGTGTTTATGGTTCAATTTTCTAATTATCTTGCGATTACAAAAGTTTCTTTTTTTCTTCTTGAGGCAATGTGATAAATTATTTCAACCTAGAGAAGTTTGCTTTTCTCATTATCACCAAAAATCACTTAAAAATCCCTATAAAAAGACGCATACTCAGTTATTGGAGGTCAAAATGTATTTTCTTTCAGGGTTGTTGTTTTCTGAAGATAATTGCTGCCTTGTTCCAAATGTGACACAAACATCCAAATATAGTTATTATATTGTTTAATCTCTTAATTTTTTCCCCTTGTTTGTTTTAGGTTAAATCCTCAGAAGCTCCTGAACGTCTTCATACACGGCCGACAGAAAACACAGAGTGTGGAACCGCACACACAGAATATCCTGAGGGTGAGTGAGCAGCTCATAAGATTTAAAATATAAAATATGCATTTTCACAGAGTATTAACCAGAATTTAATTTTGTGGGAAAGTTTCATGCTCGTTTTTTTTTTTTAAATTATATTTTCTCTTCAGTTTTCACCTGTTGCTCACGCCACAAATTTAAGTTCTGGGGGTCAAACAATGACATTTTAAAAAAGCTTGTGGTGATCGCTCTAACGTTCTCACTGTCAAAGACATTTCTTTATGGGGTTTTTTCCACTTCTACCTTACTAAGAATGTCATAGAAAACATAAACTAAAGTTGCTCAGGAGAATATTTAACCTATGATCATCTTTTTGCCAAAAGTGACTTTTTGTAGAAAACCACCACCTGTTTTTTTTCTTTTTTCTTTTTCTGCCAAAATGTCATTTAAAGAAATCACTTTTGGCAAAAAAAAACAAAACAAAAACAAAACAAACAAACTAAAACAACTTATTTTGGGAAGGAGATGATATTGAACGTTGCTGCCGTATTATTTGGAGCTTAAATCAAACTAAATATCTCTACAATATTTCACTCTTGTTTGATCAGTCTCACTCTGATTAGCTTAGCTCACAGGATCTCCCTGAAACAAGATCACAGCACACAAACACGGAGGCGCTGCTGCACTCACACTCTAACGTCATGAACGTACGAGCGAAGGGAGAGACTGAATATGTGCTTTTGCCGGGCTCAAAAGAAACCTGCCTGCGTCGAGGATTCGCTGGCACCATCTGTTCCCGGGCGCACAAACAGAGACACTAAATCAGGCAGACACACAGTAGGTACAACATGGTCACATCACCCGTCACACACGAACTCGGATTTGTTAATTATGTCCCTCCAGCGGACGCCTGGTTTCCCCTCTCCCTCCTGTCATGTTCACCTCTCTGTCCTCCTCTCTCCCTCTGCGTCTGAGGGTGTCTATTTAAAGAGACACACACACACATACGTTCTCCCCTGCTTTCTCTCTTCCTTCCCTTCTTTGCCCTTTTTTACTGTTAAGCTGTCTCTCACTCTGAAAAATTTACAGCTTCCAGCCAACTGTGATGGCTTCACTGAAATTAGCTCAGTCCTCTGCGTGAGCGTGTTCGGGCCGCGGCGCGGGGAGCGCGGCGCGCTGATAACTGATGAGGTGGAGTTCACCGTGCTTTCTCTGGGCTCACTCGGTTCCGCTTTTATTGATGAGCTCATTTGACACAAAAGCAGTTGCTCGTTTTTAGGGCTAATATTTGAGCGTGCCCCCACTGACATAAATCACTTGTCGCCAAACGTCCGACGATTGAAGCAGCGGCGCGGTGTGGTCTGCTAATCTATTTGGTCCCCTGAGTTAAAATTATTTGTCATTTTCACTCCATGTCTCGTGACTGCTAATTCAAAATGTAGTTAATCCATTATTGGTTAAAAAAAAAAGTAGAAACACCAGTCATTTTAGTAAAGTAGCCCTGAACCAAGATTTTTTTTTTTTTTTTTTTTTAAACTTCCTGTTTAAAATAATTTCCTTCTCAATGACCTACTCAATTTCCTTCATCCAGTCACATTTGTCTGCTATGTATGTAGCAATATCTCATGATGCTACAATAAGAAAACGGGATTGTTTTCTATGTTACAGTGAAGTCTGTCTTCCCTTGCTAGTAGTTTGTTTGTTCAAGACATTTATTTTGAAGTACTAAAAGGAAGTGGTTCTCGCATTAGCATGTTGCGTCGACAGATTAGCATAATAAGCAGTTGTTGCCAACCTTCCCATGCATCGTAAAACAGGAATGGTTTTTAAACATTATTTTTTAACATTGACAGAAACCGTTGGATGCTAGTTGCTAGTCCAAAGTTGACATTTCTTCTGTTTCTTCCAGTTGACGCTAATAAAAACTATTCAAGCCGGAAATGGAACAGAGACTCAGTTTGAGAGTCGTCAAATCGCAGCTCGTTTTGTGTTTTTGTGAGTACAACAAACGCAGCGGGTCAAACATGGACTGCAGTCTTTTACATTAGCTCCAGATTCTTCAGAACAAGGCTCTGCCTCCCGACTGGTGGCCGGATTTTCTACTTCAGAGTCGAAGGGGAAACGTTCTCCCCAGTTTACTCTGCTGGAGAAGGTAACTTTAAACATTTAAAGGGACAATTTTACAAAAATCCCCTCAGAAGGTATTCTTGCAATGCCGTTCTTTTCTTCTTTCCTTTCTTTGAACCCATGCAATTATGTCTCTGGGGATGAGTGAATGGAGTGTAACGGATGGAGGGATTGGACGAGCGAGCCAGATGCAGAGACACTACCCGGAGGCGGGCAGGCAGGCGGGCGGGCCGGCTGGAAGAAAAACAAAGCTCTTTAAGTCTGCTGAGGCGCAGAGCATAAACTAATCCAAGGACAAATGGAACCGGCTCAGCCAGAGAGGATGTTCAAAGCAAGAATCCAGACAAAGACTAAGAAACCAGAAACTGCTTGCAATCTTGGTCAAAAGTTCTGGCAGCGACACAAATATTGAAAACTTTACACATTTAGATTTTTTGTTTGTTTGTTTTTGTGGCAAGACAAATGTGTTTTCTCAGTGTGTGTGCATGCGTTTGTGTGAGTGTGTGCAAATGATCTGACACCAGGAATCAAAACCAGGGCAAAGTAGCTTCTTCACATTGTGGACCTTCTCTACCAACTGCACCAAAATGTGATATTAAAACAAAGATATGTTGTGACATTCTTGCAAATGTATCACTTTTTTAAACATCAGGGAATATCCAAGGTTTTCTTTTTATAATTTCTGAAATTAATTTGAGCATTTTTGAAAGGAATTTGAACATTTCTGCATTTTTAGGTGGAAATTTACTATTTTCCGACATTCTTGAAAATCAACGACTTTACATCGGAAAACTTCCAGGGTTTTCACGTAAATTTCTAAAATGAATCTAAACAAACTGGAAAATTTTTTAACGGAAAAATTTTTTTTCGTGACCAATGTTTTTCTTTTTTAATCTACGTCGACCCTGTGTGCCATCTTATTGTTTCACACTGAACATTTTTGCAACTTCTTAAAAACCTGGGATCAAGTAATAACGACCTTATTTAATGTTTTGATTCTTAGCCTGCAGTTTATTTATCGTGTCATTGGAACGGTTAGCTTTGACTTCTTGACTTCGTACATTGAATTGATCGTAAACATCGGCCAGATTAGACGTGGGACATTTCTCAGCTTGTCCTTGATTTTTCTCTTTCCTCTCCGCTCTCCCTCTCATGCTGATGTGTGATGAGACGCGGTGTCCTTTGTGCATCTGGCTGTGATAGCAATAGCTCTGTTATTGATTCTAAACACACACACACACACGCATTATATATATATATATATATATATATATATATATATATATATATATATATATATATATATATATATATATATATATATTGTCTCCCAGGGCACGTCTCTCTACTTAATTAGTCTCTTGCCTTCAGGTGTAGATGAGTTTTTCTCCCTGCAGCCTCTTCGTTCTTTTTTATTCCAACACAGAGGTCAGACCACCACGTGTGTTTACATCCCCACTTGTTCGGTCACATTTTCGGCCAATAACATTTACACGGCGCAACGTCGGCGCGCCTCCGACGTCTTTGATTCGAAAGAGCCCCAAATCAATTTGTTTTGTCAGAGCGGTGGAGATACAGGTTTAATTACCTCTTCACCGCGGCTCCAGGGATCAGACGTATTTAGCTGTGTAAATCTCCCAGATAAAATAAATGTGAGGCAGCGAGTGACGCCCAGGGACAAACGCACAGCTTTAAACTCGGCTGTTGCCTCCGTGTTGTTACTCCGACCCGAAGCTGCTGATTTACTTAAGATTGAGCAGCTTTACGTGTTTCTACACCAGCCAGGAGTGAAGCAGTGACATAATTTGGGTAATATAATATGTTTAACCTGTTAACTCTGGTGTTATGAATATGATACAACAGGTGCTCAGGTCATACTTTAGTTTTTGGAAAGGATTTCTCCTGTGTTTCTTTTTACTATTTGAATCTGTTGATGTCAGCATGTCATGTAATCATATTTATATATAAAAAAAAACTTGTATTAAAATCATTTTTTATATATTCTCCAACTGAAACTGGTAAGTTAAAGAAGATTAAAGTCTCACGATGCAAAAGAAAACAGTTTTTAAATCACATGAACATCCCAGTTGTTTCATGATTATTGTGAATTACTGCTAATAATGAGCATTTTTAGTATCGATTGTTGGGAGCACTTAGTTGGTAATCCACAACTTCCCATTTCATTAGGGCATAAACATAAATTACACAGATTCCTACATTTCTTAAGATAAATTTCTTTCTATTTAATATTTCGACAGGAAAGAGAATAAAAAACCTCTAAATCACCCAACCTGGTTGCATTTTAAGCAATTTATAAAAACTCAGTTGTGCAAAAATAACCTTCCAAAAACGCACACACAAAAAAAAATGCTTCAAACATATATCTCTGGTTCTATCTCTATGTTTGTAAAAAAAAAAAAAAAAAAAAAAAAAAAAAAAAAACAGGCCTTAATTGCAACAGAAATATCTCAGATTGCTGTTGCCACTGTAGGAGTCGGTGCTCACACCTGTCATGGCTACCAGCGTTCGTTCGCCTGCTTCCAGTAGCTACCGCTGCGCCCGAGCGCCAATTAAGACCACAGGAGTGGGATTCATACCACAGGTCATCAGGGAGCTGATTTATGACCAACTAAACCACATAATGACAGATATAACAGCAGTCAGGAAGGGCGACCAAACAGTCTGTTGAGAGCTCTTCATTGTGCTAACACATCTACCAAGCTAAACGGTTGCCTTAATCACCGCCTTAACGAGGCAGGTTATAATGTCTGCATTGAGTTTTTATAAAGTTATTATCTGCCTTATTTTCCTTACCATTAGTAGAGTATAATCTGTATTTGTTAAACCTGTGAAAAAGGCCATTCAGTCTGTCAGGTGAGCTGCTAGCCGTCCACTAGTCTCAGGATTCCCACATGTTTCTACAAAATCACTTCAAAAAGGTGAACTTAACCCTTTCAGTCCAAGTTGGAAAATTTCATGCATCAAAACAGGAGGGAGGAAAGTGGATGTGTTTCATGCTGCATCATAAAACGTAAGTAAGAAAAAAAATAAAGGTCTGTCAAAACATCAGCATGGGCATCAGCATGGGCGCACCAATTTCAGTTTTTTGACCGGTCGGCCATTACCGATCCCCAAAAAGTCAGACCTGCCAATTTCGATTTTGGCTGATACCATTTTTTTTGTATTTTATTAAACATAGCGAGAATGTCCACCCCACTGTTGAGTTGGTAACAGTGGGGAGTCTATTGGTGGGCCGGTCTATGTCAGTCAATCCGATAACATTCATCGCATCTATCGTCTTGAAAATACAGTAGCTTGAAGGCACAGATTAGACGAAGCATTAAATAAATGGAGCTTTAGCCAAAATAATCTCTTTTTTTGGCAGGTTGCTGAAAATAGAGAGTAGTGGAGCATGTATGCCTTGTGTTGACCAACTTATTTCCCCATTCCCAGTGAAAAGTCCCTCTTCTGCCCAAATATGGGCAGCAGCTTTTGGGTTTAGGTGAAAACGATCCAATCTCGGAGCGCTAATGTGACATTTAGCTGAAACGTTCGACTGATGCAGAGCGTCTGGATGTAATGATAGCTGCTAATTAGATTCATTGCGGTTGTCTCGGACGTGAGTGACAGGATGTTGGAGCAGAAGTTGCCGGTGACGGTGAGCTCTTCTTCACACCTTCCCTTCGACGTTTAGCAAACATCAATTATTGGAAGTCTAAATAACACACACATCTATATACCCGCAAAAATAACAGCTCTGTCCAGGCTGTCCATCAAGCATTCTGCTGCTTCACAATAACATGCTAATAAGGCCCCCAAAAAAACTCTTAACAAGCTTTGCAATTAAAATGATTGAAGATTATTCTCCTCCTCTTCAGTCCTGCTCCTTCCT